TATATATATATATATATATATATATATATATATATATATATATATATAGACACACACACACATTCACACACACTATTAAATGATATAGGGAGCCTTGATGGTCGTAATATTGGATCTATATGTTAATAAACGATAATGGTATCCTTGGTGGTCGTAATAGCATGATTCTTTATTATTATTCTGTAGTGGTAGTGGTCGTAATACCAGCCGGGGGGAGGGGGGGATATTGGTAAGTTATTATGGCGTGCTTTTGTGGCAAGATTTATTGTTGATAATTGGTGAATTGGTTGAAAGGCTCTATGCAACACTGTGCATGTTTAAACTTTAATGTGTACACTTAATTATTATGGATAATATGTATATATAATGAACACGTTAGTCACTAAGCTCTTTTAACTTACATTTTTTTTATGTTATGTGCCTTTCAGGATCACGTGGACACACTAAGGTATAAAGCTAGTAGCTACAGATAGTGTAACTGTAGATGGATGGTAACACCCGACTCAGATCTGTGTATTACTTTTATTGTATACGATTGTTTTGATAACATGTTGCATTTAACTAATCGGTATAAGTGTACACCAATGTTGTTTTTTAAAACAAAAGTGAAAACTTTAAATGTACCTTGTATTAATTTTTGCGGTGTTATGATATACAAGATTTATATTGCCCTTGCATTTAAGTTTGTGCCTAAAGTATAAGCTTTCGTCTTATCATGAAGTTAGCTCTGACGTATTACAAGAATACATAGAGTCAAAATATAGGTCAAAATATGACTTATAACAAGTTTCCAACAAAATTTCAAGTTATTGATTATCATATACCCTACCAAACCCGAATCCCCAACAAAATATACATACCAAAAGTTTTTCACATATAGAAATGACTAGTGGAGAATAAGGTTATGCCTCTGAAATGTATGTCTATGTTCTAGTAAAAAATAAGGTTTTGAACTTTTTTAGAAATAAGTTATGTTTAGTGACTTAATATCTATTCTCCGTTGACTATGTTGTTGTTTGTAGGGGTGGGTGTAATGTAGATTTCCTAACAATTTTTTTGGATCATATCTTATTTAAAGTAATTTTCATGTTGTGGAGTCTGTCACTATAAGTGGAACCTCCATGGCCACAAGGGTTGGATAGTGCTAAGATTTTAAGATAGGTAAATAAGATACTCACCACATCTTCTACGTGTCTTACCAAGTGATCTACACAAGCTTAAGTGGTTAGTAATTCTTGTTTGCTAAGTAACATAATCTATCTACCATGGTGATACTCTCAAAGTAATAGAAATGTGTTTTCATCTACAGTTTAAACAAACCAAAAGTATAACTAGTCGTTCACATCATTTCATTTCTCATTTAGTGTTGGGTTAATCGATTTAATTGTCACATACTCACATACATGGCTAAAACTTTGGTTTAATAATTATTGATGATTTTATATTTCATATCTTTTAGTTAATAGTTTTTATTTGAATTGATATTTTCTTTGACCGGATTCTATGGAGTTGTACAGGTCTTTAGGTAGAGTAAGTAGCATGGTTTGTTTCATGCTTCATGTGGGTATCTAAGAAGCCATATATATATATATATATATA